TCTATCTCTTTTCTTTTACTCTTCTTCCCTCTTTCTCTTTCTCTCGCTCTCTCTTGCTCTCTCTTTCTCTTTCTCTCCCTCTCCCCCTCCCCCCCTCTCTCCCTCCCTCCTTCCCTCTCTCCCTCTTCCCATCTCCAACCCTCCCTCCCTCCCTCCCCCCTCCCCCCCTCTCTCGGAACCACAGCTCTTACTCAGGCAATTCAATTTTTAAAGACCGAGAGAATGCGTGACCTTAAAGGCTAATACTTTGTTCCGGCAACTTTGGAACATACGTAGCGTCCCCGTGACCTTTGCAAAGGGCCTGCTAACCCCCCCCCCCCTTCATCATCCGTTATTCTCCCTATCTCCTTCCCTTCCCTTACCTTCCTCCCTCTCTCTTCCTCCATCACTTCCTCATCTCTCTCTTCCTCTCTTCCACCATCCACCTTCCCTCTACTCCCTCATTTCCCTCCGCTATTTCCCTCTCCTCCCCTTCCACCTTCCCCACCCCTCCCTCCCCCCCCCCCCCCCCCCCCCCCCCCCCACCCCTCCCCTCCCCCCTCCTCTACCCCCACCCCCTCCCCACCCCCCTTTCCCCACCAAAGCTAAGGTTACACACGTCATCAGTCAGCTTCCCTCCCTCCCCCCCACCCTACCCCCTACCCCCCTTTTGTTATGAATCACGTACCGTCTCTCGGGAGTTTTTCTATTATCAATTGTGGGCGGGGGGTGGGGGTTGGTGTGGGGGGGAGCTGCGTATCGAAGGCCGAAGTCAAATGGGGGGGGGGTGAGGGGTAAGGGAGTGAGGGATAAAGAAAGAGGGGGTGAGGGGAGGGAAGGAGGTGAAGCCTAAGAGGGTGAGGGGTGAAGGGAGGGGAGTAAGGGGATAGGGGAAGGGGGGGAGGGGGGCTTCTTATAATTATTACTATTATCATCCTCATTATCATCTTCGTCATCAATCCCATTATCATCACAACAATAATTAAAACAACAATAATGATAGGCTAATAACAGCAACAACAACAATAACAATAACATAAATACTAATACCCATAACAGTAACAACAACAACAACACCAAACAACAACAAACGAACAAAAAAACACAAAAAGGACATCCACCAAAGCCTCACCCACGCGTCCGAACACCACCACAACGAAAAGGCGACCGAGAAGCGAGAGGAACGGATTGCAACGTTGACGGAAACAGATGTAAACAAACGGCGGGACTTCTCTACTTCGCGAATGGGGAATAAGGATGTGGAAGGATAAGAAGGAGAAGGAGAGGAAGGAGGAGGAGAGATAGGAAAAAAACAGAGAGGAAGAGAAAGAGATAGAGGTAGAAGAAGAGAAAGAAGAAGAAGAAGAAGAAAAAGGAGGAGGAGGAGGAGGAGGAGGAGGAGGAGGAGGAAAAAGAGGAAGAAGAGGAAGAAGAGGAAGAAGAAAGAAGAAAAGAAGAAAAGAAAAAAAGAAAACGAAAAAGAAGACAGAGAGACACAAAGAGAGAAAGAAAGTCAAAAAGAAAACCAAACGAAAGACCACAACAAAAACCCAACAATTTAAGATAAAACAAACAAAATGAAAAATAAAAAGCAATAAAAGCCGAAACCCAAGCCAGAGATGAGAGGCAGCCCGACGCCCAGATTAAACAAGAGAAATGAAGAGGCATTTCTGCTGAGGAAGAGAATTTTCCATATCGATCACACGCACGCACGCAGTCCCACTTTATCTCAGCGTAACCCACGTGTTGTTTGTTTTTTTCTGGTCCGTTTCCTCTTCTCTGTTCTCTTTCCTCTTTGTTTGTTTGTCTCTGTCTGTCTCTTTCTCTTTCTCTGTCTCTTTCTCTTTATCTGTCTCTCTCTCTCTCTCTTTCCCTCCATTTCTTTCTTTCTTCCTTCCTTGCTTCCTTCCTTCCTTCCTTCCCTCCCTCCACTTCCCCTTCTTTCCCCTGTCTCTCCTTCTCCCTAAAACATGTTCTCAGTCGACCCTTACCCGCACAAACAATCCGGGAGAGGGAGGGAGGGAGGGAGGGAGGGAGAGGGAAGAAAGGAGGGAGGGAGGGAGGGAGGGAGAGAGGGAGATGGAAAAGAAGAGGGATAGAGCCAGAAAGAAAGAAAATCACAAAAAAAAAAACAGGGAGATACCAAGAAAAAAGGAACACACACACACACACACAAACACACACACATAAACACACACTCTCTTACACACACACACACACACACAAACACAAACACACGCACAAACACACACACAAACACACGCACAGAAACAAAAAAACAACCCAGAAGCAAGCGCCCACAGTACCGCGGAGGGCCGGGCGCTGGCCAGTTCCTCGCAGGACACAACAGAGCGAAGGTAAACGCGCTTACACAAGCAGTCTCGGACAGGGATGTTGTTTTTCGCTTCTGCTTTTGCTTCTTGTACTTGCGGCGCCATGTCGTCTGAAGGGAAGGGAGGGAGGGAGGGAGGGAGGGAAGGATGGAAGGGAGAGAAAGAGGGAAGGGAGAGGGAGAGGGAGGGAGGGGGGAAGGGTAGGAGAGATAGAGGGAGGGAAGGAGGGAAGGGAGAGAAAGAGGAAGGGAATGGTAGGAGAGAGTGGGAGAGATGGGTGGTTGGGAGGGAGGGAAAGGGAGGCAGAGGGAAGAGAAGCGAAGAAACAATAAGAAAGAAACAAACAGAGAGCCAAAAGAGCAAGACAGAAAGAGTGACAAAACAAGAAGAGAAAATAGAAACACATCAAAAGCAAAAATAAAGTAAAAAGAGTAAAAAATTAATTCATAAACAGATATTTGTGAATGGAGGAACAGATCCAAAGACCATTCACTCATGTATTTAGAATCATTCACAATATTACTCTCCTCTTACAAAATTTACAAGTATCGGGAATTTCCAACGGATGAATCACAAAAGAAACTTCTGAATGAAATGAAGGTATAATTTTATTATTAAGAGTCAGCTCACAACTCAATCACATGTTTGAGATTTTATGAACTTAAATGTGTGTGTGTGTGTGTGTGTGTGTGTGTGTGTGTGTGTGTGTGTGTGTGTGTGTGTGTGTGTGTGTTTGTGTGAATACGGTCACACACACACACACACACACACACACACACACACACACACACACACACACACACACACACACACACACACACACACACACACACACACACACATATATATATATATATTTTGAGTGTGTACATATATGGACACACACACACACAAACAACTCAAACAAATAGTTAAGATACGCTATAAAAGGGTCGGAGATAAGACTCCCTGATGAAGGCATAAAAGAAAAAGGAAAAAGAACAAGACGAAGAAAAAAGGAAAAGAGAAAAAAACCTCGACAGCGGTTCCCGTCAGCCGTCAGCCGCGACACAAACAGCGAGGCACGTCTAAACCTCGACGCCGGGACATAATGAGAGTCCACTGCTGACGTCACCTTGTCCACCCCCCTCCCCACCCCTTCCCCCACCTTCCCCGCCGTCCCCTCCTCTCCCCCCCCACCTTCCCCGCCGTCCCCTCCTGTCCCCTATCCTTCCCCCATCCCTCCCCTAGCCTTCCCCGTCGTCCCCTCCCCTTATCCTACCTTCCCCGCCGTCCCCTCCCCTTCCCCTACCTTCCCCGCCGTCCCCTCCCCTTCCCCTACCTTCCCCGCCACCCCCTCCTCTCCCCTAGCCTTCCCCCATCCCTCCCCTAGCCCTCCTGCTGATGTCATGCTGCCTAACAATGGGGCAGCGGGTCAAGCAGAGACGCTTTTTGTCGGCTGACGGAGGGACGACGGACCCGAAGGAGATGCCCGGCGTCGGCGGCCCTCGCCCGCGCGCGCTTTCTCCGGTTATCGCTGTCTGTCTATCTCTATCTGTCTATCTGTCTATCTATCTGTAAGTCTATTTCTCTTTCTCTATCTGTAAGTCTATTTCTCTCTCTCTCTCTCTCTCTCTCTCTCTCTCTCTCTCTCTCTCTCTCTCTCTCTCTCTCTCTCTCTCTCTCTCTCTCTCTCTCCCTCTCTCGTCCGCGAAAGAAAAATCAAATCAAATCGAAAGAATAAGAGAGAATAGCCAGCGAATGACCGTATATTCTTTAAAAAAGAAAGAAAGAAAAAAACGAAAGGGAACAGAAGACACAAGAAAGCGCCGAACTCAGCACCGGACGCCCACCCCCCCAAGACGCCACCCACGGGAGAACCTGCTGACGAAGGCGTTGCTGGAGATCGCCGGAGATTGTAGGGGTCACCGGCGTAACCCCACCGGCCTGATTATGGCCCCGAGGGATAAAGGAGGTCATAGACGCCTTGACCTCACATTCCCGTGGTCGCTGGCCCTCCTCTCCCCCCCTCCCCCCCTCTTTCCCTTCGCGGCGATTTATAATTGGGAGTAACGCGCGACTTCGAGTAACAACACGAAGGGAAGTCCATGTCAGTTTTTTTGTTCTCCTTTTTTTTTTTTTTTTTTTTTTTTTTTTTTTTTTTTTTTGGGGGGGGGGGTTGTTTTCGTTACTAATATGTTTCTTTTTATTTTAATTTTTATTTTATTTCAACAATAGGCTCTTTTTGTTTCTTACCAACATGCTTTTGTGGTTGTTTTTCCCCTTTTTATTTCCTATTTTTCTTTTTCTTTTTTTTTGGGGGGGGGCGGGTTCGTACGTGGGTATGTTGTGCCTGTTTGGGCGTCCTAGCGTGGGCGTGTTGCTGAACGCTCCAGTGCCAGAAAGGGTCAACATAATTAGGCACCTGAGACCGCGGCCTGTATTTCCAAAACAGGCTTTCCTTTGTTCCAATCGGATTAACAAAAAAGGGGGGAAAGGAATGAAAAAAAAAAGAAAATGAAAGAAAAGAAAAGAAAAGGAAATCTGTTTTCACGACTCAACCGCGGACACACGCAGGCGACTCCTTGAAAAAAAAAAAAAAAACAGGTACAGACAGGAGCCTCGTCGATGAAAGCAGATCCCGAGGGGCGGCCTGGGTCCAAGCAGACCCAAGCAGGTGCCTAACACGAAGCAGAGGGCGGCACTTACCTGAGGTGAAGAGGACGATCGCCTTGAGGCACGAGTACTCTGCCGAGTCGACGTGCAGCGCCTTCAGCTTCTCGACCTGCTCCTGGAAGATGCGGATGTGGTCCATGAAGGCCACCACCCTGTCGGCCGCCATCGGGGAGGCGTGCAGGCCCGCGGCGGCGAGCAGCGGCGCCACGTGCAGGGGCATGGAGCACTGGGAGGCGTTGAGCACGAACAGCTCGGACCAGACGAGCCGCAGCAGCGCCACCTGGTCGGTCACCTGCAGCTCCGGGAAGAAGGGGATGTTCTTGGCCCAGCCGACGGCCGAGAACAGCAGCCGCGACGCCAGCTCGCAGATGTTATCGACGCCCATGATGTTGTTGGCGTTCATGCACTGGCCGTAGGGCGAGGTGGGGAAGGGCTCGGCGCGCAGCAGGAGGGAGATGTACGACGAGAGGTACGTGTGTCCGTTCAGGGAGTCCCCGTTGGCCATGAACTGGCCCGGCATGCCCATGCCCTGCGACGGGGGGATGCGCCCGCGCTGGACCGCTGCAAAGGACAAGGGCGCGTTAGCACTCGCTAGGGGCAGGGCAGGGAAGGTGTAGTGTATTCGTGAATGTAGGTGAATGTATTATGGTAAATGAGTGTATTACTAAATTTATAATGGTGAATGAATGTATCATGGGTAAATCAATATTAAATGTGTTAGTGAATGTATCACAGGTGAATGAACGTGATATGGGTGAATCAGTGTATCAATGATTGCATCATGGGTAAATAAATATAACAATAAATGTATCATATATACACATTAGGGATAATTAATCTGCTAAAAAAGAATGTAAGATCATTTATAACACAACTATTACCTGCTAAGAACACCACCCACACTCCTAAAATCATATACTTTTAATCTCACCCACCCCCCACCAAAAAAAAAAAAAAAATCGCACCAACGAACACACCAACAAACAAATAAATACACGACTACCCCAATAAGAAAAAAACAAAAAAACAAAAACAAAAGCAAATGACACACACACCACAAAGTACGCGCACGACGAAAGCAAATCGCCCTTTTAAATACCTAGCCGAAAATAACTCAATATTAGCGCTTGACGAGTGTTTACCTCGATCTGCCACAGAGAGGGAAAGTGATAAGTCCAAGATATCAGTTTTATCAGTTCAAGATAAGGCAAGGACGCACGGGTCTCTTTATTTTTTTTTCTTGAAATTATCTGCCTCTGTGCTCCCGACTGTCTCTGTGTTTGTCTGCTTGTCTATCTGTCTGTTTTTTTTTTTTGTCTCTAAAATAGCTGGGACCTCAAGTTAACCCTAAATGATAATAATGAATATGATACTATGCCTACTAATAATAACAATAACAACAACAACAACAACAACAACAATAAAACAACAATAACAATAATATTAATAATGATAATAATTATAATAATTATTATTATGAATATAACAACAAACGTTAGTAACAACAAGACGAGGGGGAATTATAAAGAAAGTAATAAAAATATCACAAATGATAATAACAACAACATACCAGGAAAATTTGCCATTAGAAATAATTTAAATCAACAGCAGTAACAAAAACAAATGACGATAAAAGCAATAACAAACAAACAAAAACAAAAATCATAACATCACTACCACTAACAATAACAAAAACAACAACACAAGAACGAAAATAACTATAACAAAAAAACAAACAAACTCACACCGCCTCAAGCAACAACAACAAAATAACAACACCACCACCACCAACAACAACACCAAAATTCAACAACACTCTTCAACAACAACAACAACATCAACATTTCCGAAATGGGTTGTGAGCGAAAAAAGGGGGCGTGGCTCATCAATCTCCGCCCACCTTCTCTCCCGGCCGAAGGGATAAGAGAGAGATGCCCGGACGAGATACGCCAGTGGGTCAGTGGGCGTGGGAGGGGGAGGATGGGGAGAGGGGGAGGGAGGGGAGGATGGAGAGGAGGAGGGAGGGAAGGATGGAGAGGGAAGGTGGGGAGGAGGGGAAGGAGAGGGAAAGTTAGAGAGGTAAAGGGGGGAAGTTGGGGAGAGAGGAGGTGGGGAGAAGGGAGAGAGAAAGAGAGGGAAAGGTGAGGAGGGAGGGAGAGGGAAGGTGGGGATGGAGATGGAAGGAAAATGAAGGGAAGGTGGAGGGGATGAAGGGGAGAAAAAAATAAGTGAAAGGAAGTGAAAGAGAAGAAGAAAAGCGAGAAAAAAATAAAAATAAAATAGACGGTGAAGAAGAAGGGAGGGAAGCGGGAGAATAGAACACGTATAGGTAGTAGAAGAGAGGGAGAGGGGGGAGGGGGTAGCAAATCACCCAATCCACTGACCTTTACAAACCAACCTTCAGAAATAATTGCCAACAACACATACCAAACGAGAATATATGAATAGAGAAAAACAAAGCATATATATCCCTCCCCTTCTATCTCTCTATCTCTAACCCCCCACCAATTACCCCCACCCCCCCTCTCCTATGAGCAAATACCTCTACCTCGCTCTCCTATTTTCAACCCTTCTCTTCCCCTTCTCTATACCCCCTTCCCCCCTGCTCTCTCTCCCCCCAACTACCCCCAACTACCGACAAGCTATGTAAACCCTCCCCAACCACCTCCTCCCCATACCCCCTGCTTACCCCTCCCTTCCCTTCTTCCCCCTCCCTCCTTCCCTCACTCCCTCCCCCTCTATCTCTTCCCCCTCCCTCCCTCTCCCTCTCCCTCTTCCCCCTCCCTCCATCACTCTCTCCTTCTTCCCTCTACCTCCCCCTCTATCTCTTCCCTCTCCCTCCCTCCCTCCTTCTCTCTCCCTCCCTCCCTCCCTCCCTCCCTCCCCCAAATACCCACCAGCTATGAAATATTCATCGTAATTTCCTTGTTCACTCATTTCCCGGCACCTCCGGCCTTCGTCGCTAATTGAATTTTTTGGCAATACATCACAAGGGGGGAGGGGGGAGGAAGGGAGGGAGAAGGAAGAAAGGGAGGGAGGAAGGGAGAAGGAAGGGAGGAAGGAAGGGAGGAAGGAAGGGAGGGAGGAAGGAAGGGAGGGAGGAAGGAAGGGAGGGAGAAAGGGAGGGAGGAAGGGAGGGGGTAAAGGAGAAGTGAGAGAGAGGAAGGAAGAAGGGAAGGAAGGAAGGAAGGAAGGAAGGAAGGAAGGAAGGAAGGAAAGAAATGGGAAGGGAGAAAAGATCAGTAGGAGGAAATAATGAGAAAGGAAGAGAAGAAGGTAAAGGAGGAGAACAGAAGGAGAAGAAAAAAATCATGGGAGATTTTCGACATAACACCCCCCCCCCCCCAAGAACTGACAGACAGACACAGACCGAAATCAGACCGTAATGATAACAAAGCACCCGAACGGAACGCCACGAGAACGGACAAGCGGGCACTGGCTTCGGTTTCGTTCGAGTATATGGGTTTCCTTCGTTCGGTCTTGGCTTCGGTTTTACTCGGTTTTCAGTTGAATTCTCGTTGGTTTTATTCGTTTATTTTCGTTCTTTTTCCCGTTCAGTTTTAGTTAAGTTCTGTTCGGGTTTGTTCGAATGCGTTCGGTTTTCATTTCGGATATGTTCGATATGTTTATTCGGTTTTATTCGGTTCCATTCGGTCTCCGGTTCGGTTCTATCCAGTCGGATGTGTTCGGTTTTATTCGGTTTCGTTGCTTCGTTGATCTATTACGTAAACAGTTTTTTAAATTATTTTTTAAATTTAAGAAGAATAAGACATAACATATCCATATATGACTATAATCAGTATACATATTTTCATCCTTAAATAACACATAAAAAAAACGCTACAACTAGTCAATCACATCAAAAATAAAATCTCCGCCCCCTCAAAAAAAAAAAAAAAAAAAAAAAAAAAAAACACGAATTACAAAATAACACGAAATTCCCCGATCTCACGAGCCGTCAGTAATTACCATAATCGCCAAATACGTACATAACACATCGACTAATTACCACCATTGCTCTCAACAAGCAATGCAATTAGTGAAGGCTCCCCCCCCTCCCCCTTCCATCCCCCACCCCCCACCCCCCTCCCCCCACATACACACACCTTCCTTGTCGGTTAATAAGACTAAGAAAAATAAATATATAAATAAAAATATATATATAAAAAGAAAGATATTTGTCTTATCTTATGTGATATAAAGCGAAAGGAGTGGATGGAGAAATGGAGGATAAGACAAAAAATCGTTTTTTTTAATTAAGGAAGGGAATATAATGATGGGTGTTGTGATGATAAGGGTGATTTTAGCAATGGTTATAGTTGTTGTAGTAGTAGGAGTAGGTATTGTAGAAGTATCAATAACAATAACGACAATAATAATGACAAGAGGAAGGGAGGAAGGGAGGGAGAGAGGGAGGGAAGGAGGGAGAGAGGGAGGGAGGGGGAGAGAGAGAGAGAGAGAGAGAGAGAGAGAGAGAGAGAGAGAGAGAGAGAGAGAGAGAGAGAGAGAGAGAGAGAGAGAAACTTGGCGACAGACAAAAAAACACACACACACACACGCAAACACACACATATACCTCAACCCCCCCCCCCCCCCCAAAAAAAAAAAAAAAAAAAAAAATTATATATATATATATATATATATATATATATATATATATATATATATATATATGAATCACTATATACAACAGCCACGAGACCCCGCCACAACGAACCCCAACTTGCTTGCGATGTTTTCAAAAGCAAAGTTCAGCATTATCTCAAAGCATCATTCTCCTTATCTCTCTCCTTATCTGTCCTGATGCGTCGCCTTCGCTTTGACCTTGCTTTGGGCTCGATAAAAGGTGTTATTCATCGTCTGCGGTTAGTGCAATTATAGTCATCGTTGTTGGTGTTATTGCTGTTACAATCGTTATTGTTTTTTATCAGTCTCATTATTATCATAACTATTATCATTTTCATCATCAAAGTCATCAGTCATCATTATTATCATCATTATTATTATGATTATCATTGTTATTGTTATTGTTGTTGTTATTATTATCATTATCATTGTTACTATGATTATTCTCGTTCTCGTTATTGCTATATGATATGGCAGGTGATAGTGAGATGGGAGAGAGAGAGAGAGAGAGAAAGAATACAAGTCTCAGTTAACTGATATTGAAGCGTTACCACCAGATACACACACACACACACACACATACACACACACACACACACACACACACACACACACACACATATATATATGTGTGTATATATATATATATATATATATATATATATATATATATGCTTGTTTATATATATATATATATATATATATATATATATATATATATATATATATAACAAAGACTATCTTATGCCCGGCTATACAGGTAGAGAATCACAACCAATTTAGAAGAAGAGGAAGAGGAAGAAGAAGAAGAAGAAGAAGAAGAAAGAATGAAAAAAAAAATACAATGTACATTCTCCGGTCATATAAGAAAAAGAGGGTATTGATCACCTTTCGTCATCCGCAGCTCCTCTCGACTGGAGGCTAAAAAAGAAAAA